GCCCTACACAGGAAGCTTCATCCCTGCTGTGCTCTCAGAAACTCCACCCTCAGGTGTATCAGAACCAGCATTCTGACCCGGCTTGCTGCCCCCTCCCATTCCCAGCCTACACTCACTGCAAGAAACAGTAACAGTCCTCAGCTCCCTCCTTAACACACAAAACTATCCATCATCCCTATCTTTCTACAAAACCACAGATATATTTCAAGTCAGCTTCCCTTTGGCCTCCAAGATCCATAAACATCTCTTGAAACTGAATTACAGTTCTTAAAGAAACCTCTAGCACGGAGCTCTCCTGCTTCCTCCTGGCAAAACTGCAGGATTTAGCTGAGCCCTGGGAAGAATTTTTCTAGAGCACCATGCCATGCCCCAGAGCCCAGGAATGGGCTGAGCCTCCAGCAGGCATTTCACACATTTTAATTGATGATCAATAATAATTGGTGATGGTGAATTCCTTTATTAAATTGAAAAACCCATTATAACCATCATACAACATGCATCCCCACCACTAGGCATGCAAAGCACATTTCTCCGCTCACTCCAATCTTGCACATGCATCCCCACCACTAGGCATGCAAAGCACATTTCTCTGCTCACTCCAATCTTGCACGCACATCCCCACCAGTGCCAACACACAGAAGACTTTTCCCCTTAAATGTGCATCCCTCACCTTAAGCCTTCTCCGGTCCCCTCCTCTCTGGGGTAGGGGGTGCAGAGGAGGAGAAAGCGAAAACCACTCCAGCATCTTTTTCTGCAGATGCCCCATCTCTCTAGAATAAGTGTCTGAACCCACACTTTCCTGTTCCCCACAGACCCCAGTGCCATTCTAGCCAAATTCCCCAGGACTCATTCACAAAGTTCACACTTTGTTCTTTGTAGATAATAACCGCCCCCGTCCCTTTGGTAATCGGAAAGCGCCTAGCCCAACCTTCCACACACGTCCCACCCCCCCACGGCCGCCCTCCCACGCCACACCCACTCCGTGTGTCTGCGCAGGCACGCACAAGCCATCTGCTGTAACACACCGTACCTCTCCTGCTCTGACACCCTTAGCGGGCACAGATTTCTCATTAGTACACCTATGTGCCCACATGCTCTCACCTGCTGCTTGGCAGCTGTGCGCCCGTGAAAGAGACCCTCAGAAACAAATATCTCCACCTGCACACTCAGCAGAGGGAGCGCCAGCACTCTGATTTTCCAAACAACCTCCTTCCCTGACCAAACAGCGCCCAGGGGTCCCCGATGGCCCTCCACAGGACACAGATCCTGTTAGCCCAGAGCCAAACCCTCCACTTAGAGCTACAAAACAGTCCACAGCTGCACAAACCCGCGCGCGCTCCTACTGCAGCCCCGCAGACTTCCTCCTGTCCCCCAACACTATTCAGAGCCCCCTTTCCTACCATCTCCCCCTCTTCTAACTCCATACCCAGGTCTGAGCGTTAAAGGCCAATGCAGAGGCCTTTGGATTTTCTCCCCTGAATCCTACACCTCCTCCCACCTTCTTTGTGTGTGTGGGGGGGGAGGCGGGGGGCGTTAAATGGGGGCAGGCGGAGGACGTCGGATGATTTTTGAGCGCTGGGAAAACAGAACCGACCGCAAAGTTTCCTCGCGTTACAACTTTCTCCATCCTGACGTTTGGAAAGGTGGGTTGAGACTCGGCTCTAGGTTCTGCAGGGTGGGAGGGGGTATCTCTTCAGTAAAAAGCAGGTCTCCCAGCACAGTCGGTAAGCGGCTGAGTCCTGGGGTGACACCCACCCCTTTTAGCCCGCCCCCTCCCCACCCCACCCTCGAGCTCCCGCCCCCTGCTCATCACGCACATAAACAAGTCCAAAGCGCTCAGTCGCCAGCTCTCCAGCTCGGAGCCCTGCGCTCTGGCTGCCTTCGGGCAGCCGCCTGCACTCAGACCTCTGAACCTGCCGCCAGAGGTCTAGACCAGGCGGCCTAGTTCGGAGCTTCCTGCACCTGGAAGCTCCCAACCAGGGATCCTGCGAGAGGGATCCTAACTAGTCAGCAGCCGCCACCCGGTTCGGCGCGCCGGTCTCGGTGCCTTTGAGGAACGCAGCCGCCCAACTCCCCCAAAGAAGCAGGGTCTCCTCCGCGCACCCCCTCGCGCCCGAAAGCCACCAGGACAGTCCCCTCCCCCACCCAGCCCCTCCTTTCCCGAACCTTCAACTCCCAAACTTCCCAAATTTCCTTCGGAGTGTGACCTGGAGCTCTCGGACCACGGAGCACTTTGGTCCTTGGCGGGGTGGGGGGTGGAGGGGCTCTGAAGTCCGACCTATATGAGTCGCGCCCCGGGCCTCCAAGCCTCCCCGCACCTCCGATTCCTAGAGCTGGCCCGGAGGAACCGGAGGGACTCCCCGGTGATCGCCAGGCCCCCGTGCCCGCCGCTCCCCGCCGGGGACTCAGAGGCGCGGGCCGCGCACGCAGCTCCGACATCGGCGGCGCAGAGACCCGGGTGGGGTGGCCACCGGCCTGCACGAGCCCCGGTGTGCTCTGAGCTTTCTCAGGAAGCTCTGAGCGGAGGTAGGGGGACTCCGGCAGGTAGCCGCGCCGCGAGGAGTCTCAACTCCCCAAACTGGGAAGCGTCTCTCCAGGTCTGGAGCTCCACATCCCCTCCCCCAGTTCTGCCGGGCCCCAGAGGGGGAGGAGAGTCGAGAGCCCTGCGCCGCGGCGAACCCGGCGCCGGGGGCTCGTGCGGGGAGCGGCGGCGGCTCCCTTGCCTCCCCGGATCCGCCTGCGGCCCTCTTTGTTACGGGGTGCGCGGGGAGCTCCTCTGCGCGAACAGACGGGTGTGATGATGAGGGGCTGGCGGTTCTGCCGAAGCCCTTCCTTGCCCTTCCGTCGTCTCCCTTTCCCCTCGCCTCCGCCCCCCATTTCCAATCCTGGTCCCTTAAACCTGATCACTTTCCCAGATATAGGGCGGTTTCTCCCGCGGCAGCCGAGGGACGGGAGAGACGAGGTGGGGAAGAGTGAGTGAGTGTGTGTGTGTGTGTGAGTGAGTGTGTGTATATCTGTGTGCGCGCAGGGGTAGCTGTGATCTCTCCATGGCCTGGGCAGATCCCGGCGTAAACTTCGGGAAGACAAGAGCCAGGGAAAGTGCGGGTGCGCAGCGCGATGGGGTGGGGGCGGGGTGCGGAGCCGGGGCCCCGCGCGGGTCCCCCAGTCCATCCCCCTACCGGGCCCCCGGGCCCCGGAACCTGCCCACCCAGCGCGCCCGCCTCCTCTTACCGTGGCAGAAGTAACCATGGCATCCGTGTGACTGTTTCCAGGGACGTCGACATGAAGAGAAAGGTGGACGCGAGCTCGGTCATCCAAAGTCTCCCCCACTCCGCCGCCGCCACCCCCCAGCAGGGGACAAAAAGAGCAGGAGAAAGAAAAGCGAGGGAAGAAAGTAGTTGCGCCGGGCTCTCTCGGGGGCCGCGCGCGGAGCTGCTCGGTAGGGAGAGGAGCCTTCAACTCTGAGTCCCGCGAACATAATCTGCGCGGTTATAACCAGCCAACCCGGCCAGATGGCTCCGCGCTCAGCGCCTTAACCCCTTCGGCGCCGCGCCGCCCGCCCCCGCGCGCCGCCCGCCGCGCACGCCTGCGCCCCAGCGCCCCTCCGGCTGGGGCCGGGGGCCAGTGAGGGGACCGGGTCATTTCCCATAGCCGCTCTTAAAGAAAAATACCCCCGACTTCCAAGGAATGTATGCTTCGGTTTGCCCCCTCGATCTCCCTTTTAGAGATCCAGGAAAAAAACAAAAACGAGATATTCAACTTTTCACTGCACTTTACACGTTCATGCCGTCAGCCTGTCTTATTTGTTCCTTTTCTTGAAAAAATTCTTTTTGATCTTTTTTGATTTTTATTTAAGGTTTTTCTTTACAAAGCGGAAGGTTCTTTCTTGCCCCTTTCCCCAAGGCGGCTGGGGGGTCTAATGTGCAAACCCCTCAGAACCTTTCGGTTCCAGAACTCTTCCCACCCGCTACCAAGTCCACCGGCGGGTCCTACACCCTCCCCGCCACCAGAGCGTGCCCCGGGTACCGCTCCCCAGGGTGCTCGCCGCTCCGGGACCAGCTCCTAGGGCGCAGCCGTTGGTGCAAGGGGATCAAGCCAGAGAGGTGTGGGGTGGGAGTCAGGGGACCAAGGGACGGGCGGTTGTGTGTGCGCCTGTGTGTGTTTGTGCGAGCCTGAGCTTGGAAGGGTGGGGTGATGAATCGGAGGCTCCCACTCCACGAAGCCTTCAGCTCCTCCTAAGCCCCTTCCATCCAAACGAGGGTCTGCCTCTGCAGCCTTGCGCCCTTTCAGCACCCACCAGTCTGCAGGCGGGGACCGCGCGGGAAGGCCAGCGCCAGACCGACTTTTCTAAGCGCTCCGAAAGCAGTGACGTCCACTTCCCCACCCGGCGATTATTCGAGGAATGGAAGGACAGGGGGCAAAAATCTCTTATTTCGAGATAATTTTAGCTGTCCATTAGACCCCGCTTGCGGCGAGCTCGGTCTCTAAATTTACCAACTTAAGTCATCTTGCTTCGGCCCATTTGCCATCAAGAGAAGTGGTGGGGCCCTGGAAAATGTCACTTAAGGGTCAATGAGTTAACCCAGAGTCTCAGTGTTTTGCCCTCCAGTCCTCGGGTCGTGGCGTGGGGATCCTTATCTCCATGTCCCCCTACTTCGTCCTCTGTGCCATCTCCGCGACCCCTCACCCCATCTCTTGCCAGGACCTCTGGACTCGCGCGATATTGGGGGAGGGGAGTCAGTAGGCATCACTTCTCCCCGCGCCCTGCCTTAAGCAGCACATGCTATGTTTCCGCTGGGGTCCAGGTTTATATATATATATATATATATATCCGAATTCCTTTGACTTCTTGGAGCATTTGGTCAGACAAGACAGCAAGAAGTATGAAGTGCACTGCACCTACCAAATCAGGCCGAACCCGCCGCGGAATGAGGCCGCCTGTCCGAGGGGAGGTGGGAAGGGATGGGGAGCCTGGGGTCTGCGTACTAGATAGATTGTACCTGCCTCATCATTTTGCTGGCTGCTGGAGGCTGCCACATCGAAAACGGCCGGAAGCGCCCACTGAGGCCCAGGGGCGTCACCTCGAGCGGTCCCTGGGGAGGGGAGGGTCTCGCTTCAGTGCCTCCCTCGCGCCTATAGGTTCGGGTCCTCCTCCGGGGCAGACTAGGCTGCCGAGCTGTCCCCTCCAGCCGGCGCGCGGCACCACGAAGGTTTGCACTGGGCGTGCGCTGCCGGGTCCCGGTTTTCTCGCTCGACTCTGGCCCGCCCCCCGCCCTCCCCCACTTCCCGCACTTGCAACCCCCACCCCTACCCCGGCTGCCGAGCAGTCAAAGGCGGGATTCGGGTCCCAGATCCAGTTCCACTGGCCAAGTTCTCTGGGCTCTTCGCTGGAGCTCCAGATCGTCCGTGACCCCGAAGATGGCCAGAAGAGAGGTGATTGGCTCCCGCTGCAGCGAGGAATGGGTTAAAAACAAGTCCTGGCTGTTCTGCTTGCAGCTCCTCGGTCACCCGCAGTCTGGAGGGAGGAGGGGAAGGGAGAAGGGGGCAAACTTAAATTTGAGAAAAAAAAAAAATCAGAAGGAAAAAAAAGAAAAAGACTAGGCAGCGTGAGTTTAAAACCGATTTGTTCTGCAGATGCCCGGCGCTGGCTGACTGCCTCGTTTTGCCAGGACCTAGGCGACCTCGGGAAAAGTTGGTGTCTTTTCCCAACTCGAGGGGGGTTTTGTCCTGAGCTGGTGGGTCTGTCTTTGCCTGCAATCAACACGCCTTGTAATATGAGAGGTGACACCTTAATCTTGCCAAATATGCGTGGTGCCTTGGGGAGGAGGGGGCAGTAAGGGAGGGAGGGACCGAGGGAGGAGAGAGGAAGAGGACGGAAGCAGGCAGAGGCTGGGTAAGAAGGATGCACTTTGCTGCTGTTCTTCAGTCGCTAAGTCGGGTCTCACTCCCTTTGCGACCCCATGGACTGTATGGAGCCCACCAGGCTGCTCTGTCCATGGGACTCTCCAGGCAAGAGTAGTGGAATGGGTTGTCATTTCCTTCTCCAGGGCATCTTCCCCCATCCAGGTATCCAAACTACCTCTCCTGCATTGGCAGGCGGGATTCTTTACCACTGAGCCATTGCTTACTGTCTCTCAGATGGAGGACCCCTGGCCCTTTCCTTTGCAGGAGGCCCCTTTCAGACAATCTCCCCTGAGCCAGCAAGCTGCCTTTTCCTTGACTGCTGTACTTTCCACTTGAGAGCTATTTGTTCTCTTTTCCGCTCCAAATACCGGTGATGGAGTCCTCCCTCTGACTCCCAAGAGAGGGACAAGGTAACCAGGAAATAGAGTGGCCAGAAAAAGAAGTACAAAGGTATATTTCTTTAAAGATAAAGTAAAAGACTGTCGCATATCTTAGGGACTCAGAACTGTGGTACATTGTGACTTCTGAGCAAATCCATTTCTCGGAGTAGAGACTGATCTGAGTGGTTGCAGATTGTTAAAGCAAAGAACAGAGTTGGGAGGTAAGCTGGGCAGTTCCTGCCTCATGCAGCACTGGGTCTAGCCGGAGTCCATTCAGACTAGGTCTTTTTGGATCTCTTTCTCCAAGTGGAGCCCCTGTCGCAGTCTTGACCTTGGTGTCCATCTGTTAGCTGTATTTTTAGGTTGCTGAGCTTTCTTTTTCTCCTGACTGCATTTGGAAGACCCTCCTCCTGAAAGTGGCTTGTAGGTTTGTGTGAGCAGGGGACTGGATCTGTTTGGAGACCTGTTTGAAAACTCAGTTCCTAAAGCAAATTTCTGGAGCTAGCCTGCCGCCCACCCTTGTCTTTTGCAACAGCACCACGCTGTGGTTGAAACACTGAACAGAAACAGAATGGAAAGGTTGGCCTGAAGCGTGCCTTTCCCTTGTAAAAAGCAGCATTTCTGGGGTTGATGTTTGAGTTCAGTGAACTGTGGGTTGGTGGGGGGGGGGGCGTGGAAATTGATGCTCATCGTGTGGTCCTGTGCCCTAGCTGCCTGCGGTTAGGTTAATTCATTGTGACATATTGACCCAGGAAATGAGAGTGGTGTCTGAGGACCCTTTCCTCTGTGACCAAACGTGGCAAAGACAAGTGAGGTGATTTTCCCAGTGAAAAGTTAGCTAGTCTTGAACATTTGCCTTCTCTCATTTTTTTGTGTTTTTTTTGTTTGTTTGCTTTTCCTTCTGCTCAGAGGTTGCGCCTCTACGTCTTAGCTGATCTTCAAATATTTGCACTTTGCATCTTCCGTGACTGGAGAGAATGGTGGAGAAGTTTGGCAGTGGCCACAGTTCCTTTTTTGGGCCCTAGCCTGTCTCTCCCCACCCCCACTCATTCAGACTGCTGCTCTGCCAATGGAGCCTGAAAGTCTATGTTTCTGACACAATGAAGTGAAGGCAAAAGGTGTTTGCCCGGGGACTGGGAATTTAGGGGTCACAGGAAGACCATGTACTCCCGTGGCTCCTGGTGCTCAAGAGATTCCTGACTGCCCACCTATCACTGAACAGGTCCTAACCACTAACCACAGAGTTATTAACAGTCACTCGAATATCACAAATATCATGCTCATTAGTAGCCCCGCCCAAAAGCCCTAGGGACTCCTTTGTGACGCATTACTCTTTTTTTTTTTTCAAGATGAGTGCAATGTCCACAGAGACTGCGTCCCCAGGTCTTCCCTAAAATTTCTGTCATCTTTATCAGCAATGGTCACTGACTGAGCAGGGATCCCAGAGGTCAAGTTCTCTGAGCCTCTGTGTCCTCACTCTGTATTGAATAGTTGATGAAACTGAGGTTCCAACTGGATAGTGACTTTCCCCAGGGAAACAGTAAAAGCCTGGTAACAGATCAGAAGGTAGGGACTTCTGGAAAGAGAGACTTCTGGAGTCATCCCAATCCAGGTTTCATGCGACCTTCATCACTTCGAAGCTGTGTGTCTTTGGACAGACTCTGAGCTTCTCAATGCCAGCCTCATAGGAGTGTTGGTGGTGGTTGTTTAGTTGCTCACTCATGTCTGAGTCTTTGCGAACCCATGGACTGTAGCCCACCAGGCTTCTCAGTCCATGCACTTTCCCAGGCAAGAAAGCTGGAGTGGATTGCCATTCCCCTCTCTAGAGGATGTTTCTGACCCAGGGATCAAACCTGAGTCTCCTGTATTACAGGCAATTTCCTGCATTGCAGGAGGGTTCTTTACCAACTGCACCATCGAAGAAGTCCATAGGAGTGCTATGAGGATCAAATGAATTTATTTATTTAAAACACTGAGCACAGTGCCTGGCACCACGGAAGCCTTGACTTCCAATCTAAAGGCACTTGTAGTGAAATCCTGCCATCCCACTGGTAGGGGATCAGCTTTTAGAAAGACTGTCCTGTCTGTTCTTTGTAAGCAGTCTTAAACATTTCATTAATGTAACTCCATGGGTTTATTTTCCCCTTTGGACAAAGACAGAAAGAAATCAGCAGGATGAAGTAGTGGACATATTTAGAATCTTTAGAGCTTCCTAATATGGACCTCGATGAGCCTGGAAGACATAGTTGAAGGATTTCAAAATCTCATCTTATTCATTCTTTCATTTGTTCTCTAAGGTAGAACCACCTCATTGTTTTAAAGGAAATTCCATCGTGTCCTTTAACTCTTAGCAACTTGCCTAGTATATTTTCCGTTTGTTGTTGTTGCTAATTATGTTTTAGAACTTACATTGAACAATATAGAGTCACACTGAACAATGATGGATCAACTCATTTAGTGAAATAGCATACAGATTCATAAATAGGTTTCAAGAAAATACCCAGAATAATAGAGGGAAGGTATGTATTCCTACCACACAGGTGGATATAGAAATCATAATAAAGTCTCCTATTTCACCAGTCATGACATGAATTCCTCACCACCCTATAAATTAGCTTTACATTGCACCAAACTCCACTCATAAAAAAAAATGACATTAAGGTTTCCTAGGTAACTAATGCATTTCCAGAGGGCATAGGCCTCAGGAGACAAAGGGGGTAAGGAAGGGGGTGGGGGTGGGGAAGTGAAGAAAGAGGAAAAAAAAAAAACATTCGATTAGACCCATGTGACATAAACAAAATATTTCATGGGTAAGAACTCATAAAGTTTTATTAGCTGGGTTCGACATAGCTGTGGCACCGCCATTAATTCCATCTTTGGACAATAAAAGACTTGCTAGGCTCCCCTCACCCTCCACGTCTCCAATCATGTGTGCCAGCATCTCTTGGTCCAGGCTCAGAGTTACAGATGTTGAGAGTCACTGTTCATCTACTGAGCTGTGTCCAGTCACCAACCAGCTGTTTCTTGAGGCCTCCAAGGGATATTTAGATATCACCAAATGCTGAGAGTGAAAACTGTCCATCTGGATGGTTCAAGAGGTGCAGATGCATGCAATCGTATAGACACTGAGCTTGTTGGAGCAGGGCTGTGAGGCTCAGGGGAACGTTCCCTGGGTTGGGTTGAATAGACAGGGTCCGTGTCCGATTTCCAAATCTCCAGTCCGGTGGTCTTTTCACTGTGGCTTTCTTCATCTGGGGAAAGGTCTGGATGCTAAAGAGCCAATAGATGCTTAGGAGGACATGGAAGGTTGTAGGAGGAGCTTAAGTTTCCACTTATGCTTTAAGAACATTGTTGTTCAGTCGCTCAGTCATGTCCAACTCTTTGTGACCCCAGGGACTGCAGCAGGCCAGGCCTCTCTGTCTCTCACTGTCTCCCAGAGTTGGTTCAAACTCATGTCCATTGAGTCAATGATGCTGTCCAACCATCTCATTCTCTGCTGCCCACTTCTCCTTTTGCCTTCACTCTTTCCCAGCATCAGGGTCTTTTCCAATGAGTTGACTCTTTGCCTCAGGTGGCCAAAGTATTGGAGCTTCAGCTTCAGCATCAGTCCTTCCAATGAATATTCAGGGCTGATTTCCTTTAGGATTGATTGGTTTGATCTCCTTGCAGTCCAAGGGACTTTCAAGAGTTCTCTAGCACCACAGCTCGAAAGCATCATTTCTTCAGCGCTCAGCCTTCTTTATGGTCCAACTCTC